CCTCCTGGGCGTCTTGGAGCTTCTTGGGCCGTCTTGGGGCCCTCTTCGGCCATCTTGGGGGACTCTTGGACTGTCACGGGGCCTCTCGCAGGACTCTTGGGCGATCTTGGGCCGATCTTGGGGACCTTTCGGGCCTTGTCCGAAAACCGAAGAGGCGCAAATGCCAAAATCGTCCCCCCCCCCCTAAAAAAACGAACGGACAATAAATGACTTTGGTCTCTTCGGGACCCTCCCGGAGGACGTCTTGGACGCCTCCTCTTGGGGGCCTCGGGCGCGTCTGGGGCCCTCTTGTACCATTTTGGAGGCTTCTTGGGCGAACTTGGAGGCATCTTCGGTTCTACTGGGCCATCTTGGAGGCCATCTTGGACCATATTGGGCGAACTGAAAGGCCATCTTGGCCGTCTTGGAGGCCAGCTTGGGCCATCTTGGAGCCGTCTGGAGCAAGGAAAACCTCTGCAACCAGATCTTATGGTCCCTTTTGGGTGGTCGGGGGGCTGGGGTCGGAACCCCAGGGGAGAGTTCTTGGGGGAAAAGAACCCAAACCAAACCGTAAGAAATCTAGCACGCCGGGCACCCTTGTGGCAAGACAGCAGGGGGCGGCGGATCGAAGACGCCTACGGCGAATCACCGCCGCCCCCTGCGGACTTGGAGACATCTCCTCCTCTCTTGGGCGGACTTGGAGGCCATCTTGGACCATCTTGGGGGCCATCTTGGGCCAACGTGGCCATCTTGGAGGCCATCTTGAGCCGTCTCGGAGAATTGTTTGCGGACGTTGAGGTCGTTGGCGGGCCTGGAGGTCCTTCCCGGCACCCCGGCGGGACGGGCCGAAGCCCCAGGGGGAGTTCTTTTGGAAAAAGAACCAAAACCAAAACCGAAATCGTCTAGCACGCCAGGCACCCCTGTGATGAATCAACAGGGGGCGGCGGATCGAAGACGCCTACGGCGAATCACCGCCGCCCCCTGCCTTTTTGGAAGCGCCTATGTGGCCGAACGTTGAGGCCAGACCTGCCAAGCTATCGGACCATGTGTTCCCCGAATCGGTTTGGAAAGCCTTCGGGGAACACGTGGGCATCTTGAAGGTCATCTTGGCCGTCTGGAGGCCATTTTGACACTTTCGGGCCTTCTTGGAGGACGTCTTGGAGGGCTCTTGGGCCGTCTTGGAGGCCATCTTGAGCGTCTTGGAGGCCTCTTGGGCCATCTTGGGGGCCTCTTGGGACTGTGTCTTGGGCCTCTTAGGAGATCTTTGGGGGCACTTGGGCCGTCTCGGGCCGTCGGAAGGCAGAAAAAAAACAGATGGCATTCCTGGAGGCCCTCTTAGAGGCCTCTTGGGCCGTCTTGGGCCATCTTAGTGTCATCTTCGGCCGTCTTGGAGGGCCCCTGGCCCGTCCCACGCCGTCGGAATCCGTTTGGGGGGCCTCTCTGAGCCGACTTGAGACTCTCTTGGAGTGCTCCAGGGCCGGCCATCCTGGGCGTCTTAAAAGCCTCCTGGGTCGTCTTGGGGGCCTCTTGGGGCCGTCTTGGGGGCCTCTTGGGCCGTTCTGGGGCCATCTTGGAGGCCGCTTGGGCGATCTTGGGGCGATCTTTGGGGGCTCTTGGGCCGTATCGGACCGTCGGAAGGCCGAAACGAAGCAAATGTCAGAATTCTTTTAAAACCTATGGAAAGTCAATGATTTTGGCCTTTTCTGGCCTTCCTGGAGGCCCTCTTGAAGGCCTCTTGGGCCAGCTTCGAGCCAACTTCGGCCATCTTGGTGGGCTCCTGGCCCGTCTGACGCCGTCGGAAGCCGTTTGGGGGGCCTTTCTGGGCCGAATTGGGGCCTTCTTGGGGTGCTCCAGGGCCGTCTTAGATGCCATCTTGGGCGTATTGGAGGCCTCTTGGGTCGTCTTTGTGCGCTCTTGGGGCCGTCTTGGGGGCCTCTTGGGCAGTCCTGAGGCCATCTTGGAGGTCTCTTGGGCGCTGTGGGGGCGATCTCGGGGGCCTCTTGGGCCGTCTTGGGTCGTCGAAAATCAATGATTTTGGCTTCTTCGGGCCCTCCTGGAGGACCTCTTGGAGGCCTCTTGGGCCGTCTTGGAGGCCTCTTGGGCACCTCTTGGTCCGTCTTGGGCCGTCTTGGAGGTTTCTTCGGCGAACTTGGAGACATCTCCTCCTCTCTTGGGCGGACTTGGAGGCCATCTTGGACCATCTTGGGGGCCATCTTGGGCCAACGTGGCCATCTTGGAGGCCATCTTGAGCCGTCTCGGAGAATTGTTTGCGGACGTTGAGGTCGTTGGCGGGCCTGGAGGTCCTTCCCGGCACCCTGGCGGGACGGGCCGAAGCCCCAGGGGGAGTCCTTCTGGAAAAAGAACCAAAACCAAAACCGAAATCGTCTAGCACGCCAGGCACCCCTGTGATGAATCAACAGGGGGCGGCGGATCGAAGACGCCTACGGCGAATCACCGCCGCCCCCTGCCTTTTTGGAAGCGACTATGTGGCCGAACGTTGAGGCCAGACCTGCCAAGCTATCGAACCATGTGTTCCCCGAATCGGTTTGGAAAGCCTTCGGGGAACACGTGGGCATCTTGAAGGTCATTTGGGCCGTCTGGAGGCCATTTTGACCCCTTCGGGCCTTCTTGGAGGACGTCTTGGAGGGCTCTTGGGCCGTCTTGGAGGCCATCTTGAGCGTCTTGGAGACCTCTTGGGCCATCTTGGGGGCCTCTTGGGACTGTGTCTTGGGCCTCTTGGGCGATCTTTGGGGGCACTTGGGCCGTCTCGGGCCGTCGGAAGGCAGAAAAAAAGCGAATGGCAGAATCCTTCGAAAACCCATTGGGAAATCAATTATTTTGGCCTTTTCGGGCCTTCCTGGAGGCCCTCATGGAGGCCTCCTGGGCCCTCTTGGGGCCGTCTTGGGGGCCTCTTGGGCCGTCATGGGGCCATCTTGGAGGCCTCTTGGGCGATCTTGGGGCGACCTTGGGGGCCTCTTGGGCCGTCTTGGGCCGTCGGAAAGCCGAAAAGGATTGTGGCCTCTTCGGGCCTTCCTGGAGGACCTCTTGGAGGCCTCTTGGGCCGTCTCGGAGGCCTCTTGGGAGCCTCTTGTGCCGTTTTGGGCCATCTTGTGGCCATCTTAGGCCGTCTTGGGTGCATCTTGGGCCGTCTCGGAGGCCTCTTGGGAGCCTCTTGTGCCGTTTTGGGCCATCTTGTGGCCATCTTAGGCCGTCTTGGGTGCATTTTGGGCCGTCTTGGAGGCATCTTGGGGTCATCTTAGCCGTCTTGGTGGCCATCTTGGCCGTCTTGGAGGCGTCTCGGAGGCCATCTTGGAGCCATCTGGGACGGAAAAACCTTTTGCAACCACCTCTGGAAGATCTTTCGGCATCCTTCCGGGTGGCCGGCGGGACGCGCCGGAGCCCCAGGGGGAGTTCTTTTGGAAAAAAAACCAAAACCGAGAGGATTCAGCACGCCAGGCACCCGTGCGATGAATCGACAGGGGGCGGCGGATCGAAGGCGCCTACGGCGAATCACCGCCGCCCCCTGTCTTTTTGGAAGCGCCGATGTGGCCGAACGTTGAGGCCAGACCTGCCAAGCCATCGGACCATGTGTTCCCCGAATCGGTTTGGAAAGCCTTCGGGGAACACGTGGGCATCTTGAAGGTCATCTTGGCCGTCTTGGAGGCCTCTTGGGCGATCTTTCGGCGATCTTTGGGGGCTCTTGGGCCGTCTCGGGCCGTCGGAAGGCCGAAAAGAAGGAAATGCCAAAATCCGTCAAAAACCTTTGGAAAATCCAGGTTTTGGCCTTTTCTGGCCTTCCTGGAGGCCCTCTTGGGGGCCTCTTGGGCCGTCTTGGGCCAGCTTCGAGCCAACTTCGGCCATCTTGGTGGGTTCCTGGCACTTCTGACGCCGTCGGGAGCCGTCTTGGGGGCCTTTCTGGGCCAACGGGGGACCCTCTTGGGGCGCTTCGGGGCCGTCTTGGAGGCCATCTTGGGCGTCTTGGAGGCCATCTTGGGCGTGTTAGAGGCCTTTTGGGCCGTCTTGAGGCCCTCTTGGGGCCATCTTGGAGGCCACTTGGGCCGTCATGGGGCCCTCTTGGGGGCCTCTTGGGCTCTCTTGGGGGCCTCGTGGGCCGTCTTGAGTAGTCGGAATGCCGAGAAGAAGCAAATTCCAAAATCCTTACAAAACCTTTGGAAAATCAATGATTTTGGCCTCTTCGGGCCCTCCTGGAGGACCTCTTGGAGGCCTCTTGGGCCGTCTGGGAGGCCTCTTGGCCCGTCTGGGGCCGTCTTGGACTGGGCCGTCTTGGAGGCCGTCTTGGACCATCTTGGGCGGACTTGGAGGCCATCTTGGGCCATCTTGGCCATCTTGGAGGCCATCTTGGAGCCGTCTTGGGCAGAAAAGTAGGGAATTGAGATCCTTGGAAAAGATCCCGGGACCCCGGCGGGACGGGTCGAAGCCCCAGGGGGAGTTCTTTTGGAAAAAAAACCAAAACCAAAACCGAGAGGATCTAGCACACCAGGCACCCCTTTGCTGAAGCAACAGGGGGCGGCGGATCGAAGACGCCTACGGCGAATCACCGCCGCCCCCTGCCTTTTTGGAAGCGCCTATGTGGCCGAACGTTGAGGCCAGACCTGCCAAGCTATCGGACCATGTGTTCCCCGAATCGGTTTGGAAAGCCTTCGGGGAACACGTGGGCATCTTGAAGGTCATCTTGGCCGTCTTGGAGGCCTCGTGGGCGATCTTTCGGCGATCTTTGGGGGCTCTTGGGCCGTCTCGGGCCGTCGGAAGGCCGAAAAGAAGGAAATGTCAAAATCTAATCAAGTTTGCTTGCTTTTTTACAGAACCAAACGGCTATGGATACATCCCTACCTTACCTGCATCTTCCTACCTTCCCATGCTAATGATACGCTGCTGCATGAACACATGAGCACTCTGATCACCCCGCCTCGGGTCCAGGCAACAAATTGATGCCATATCAGAGAATCTTATATAAACTGGTAGCGGAGCGGTGGCCACGGACCTACGCCAGAAAGCCCGGTTCAGGCCAGAAGTCCCTTCTGAGTCACGGCCCTGCTCGAGTCGAAGACCAAGCCGGCTGTCGTAAGCAAAGGGTCCCTCATGCCGACGGCCATCGCCTTCGTCAGAGGGTCGGCCATCTGCTCGGTAGTCCGAACCTTCACGATCCGAATGTCGCCGCTCGCCACTCTATCTTGTAGCCACAGATAACGTGTATTGACATGTCTCTGCTTGCCCAACCCTCGGCGGGTTGCGAATCCCTTCGCTGCCGCGCAGTCCGTCTTCACGTTCAATCGGATTGCAGAAGACAGCCCCCAGTCCGCCATCAGGGATTTAATGCCCAAGGCATGGGCACTGCCTTTCACTGCCGCGTAGTACTCGCTCTCGCCGACGTTCAACGCGATCGTGCTCTGCACTGTCGAACTGCTCTTGAGCAAGTGCTTCCCGAAGAAGATTGCCATCCCGCTGGTGCTCTTCCTGGTGATGATGTCCCCGGCGTGGTCTGCATCAACCCAGGCATCTAACGAGTTTGGCATCGCCTGCTTCGGAAACTTCAGGATAGCTCTCGGCCGTCCAAGCACATAACGCCCAAGACGCTTCAGCTCCTGGAAATTGAACTCATTGGGGCTCTTCATGCTCTGTGCAAGACATTTCACTGCCTCCTGGATGTCCAAACGGTCTTGTCCAAGATAGCTTGCCCGCATAACACAGGAACGATACAGCGTCGCCTCAGAACTCGAAAGTACTCTGCTGTCTGCACCCTTCCATACTTCTGACTCAGAATGTTTCACACGTGGCGTATCTACAGATTTGGCCTTTTCTAACCCCAAGTCTCGTGCAAGAAGCTCTGCGTGCCTACGGTCTCCTTCGATCTCAATACCGTCCTCCGTGATACGAACAATCCGGTTCAAGATGCACGCCTCCTGGGAGTCACCTGCCTCCGTGCCAAGCGTTGCCACGTGCTTGCAAGTGAACTTAGAATTCAACAGCGTGTCCATTTCCGTAATTGAACGTTGATCACCCAAGAGAACAAAATCATCTCCGTGGACGAAAAGCCTCGATCCATCAAATGGGTTGTAGAATATAGATGGGTTCGTCTTCCCCAGAACGTAGCCCTTCTTAGCCAAAAGGTCGGTGTAGTTCTTCTGCCACAGGTGGCTTGCGTCCTGAGTTCCGTACATGGTCCTCTGAAGCAGCCCAACATGAGTGTGTCTGTCGGGATCTCCCTCTGGCAACTTGACAAACAGCCTCCGCTCGCACTTCGACATGAAGTGCGCCCGCGAGATGTCCCAGAACGCTAGCTTGAGCTCGGCGCCCCTGGAACTCCGCTGTTGCGTCGCCTGGATACTGCAGAGAAGCTTCAAAGCCTCCAACCACGGCATGGCGGAGAACAACTTCTCCGGACTCAGCTGCTCGAACTTCGCCTTCTTGCCCTTCGTGGCCTCCATCACGACCAATCGAGAACGCACGACAGGTTTATTAGCGTCGCCCTTGTTGGTGTCAATCCAGAGCAGCGGAATCGCAGTAGCGCCCTCGCTCTCCATGACCTCCCGCGGGACCTTGGTGTACACGCCCTCCTTGGCAACCCAGTCCCGCTCCAACTGCCTAGCGTCCTCCACCAACTTTGTCGGTATAATCCCGCCGTTGACGTCGTCGTAATACGTCTTCCACTGTTCGTCGCTGTACACCTCCGGCTCCTCAGCTATGGGCCCAGCCGTGCAGATGTCCATACTCGACAACTCCATCCGGTGAACAAGCTGATCACGAACCACACGTAAAATCGCATACATCAGCCTCGGCGGATATATGTGCGTAGACCTCACCTTCTGAAAACCAACTGGACGTACATGCCGATACCAACCACTCTTGCCCTGCAGGCTCACACGCTCGTCCTGCAGCATAGCGGCCAACTCTCGCGAGTTCGTTAACCACGACGTTTCTCTGCGCACGTATCCAGATCTTCCGCTCTGGATGGTGCCTGCCAGCCGCCATTTGCACATGGGACCGGCCACCTTGTACACTCCCGGCATGTTCTCCAGCTCCGCCATGATGTCCTCGCCCCTGGAGGTGGTAATCCCAGGAACCTCATGCAAGAACAACTTGCCCATCTTGATCTGCTTCCGGTACGCGTCGACACTCGCTCTCAAGTGCCTCCGGCCGTCCTGCATCTCTAAGCTCACGGTGTTTGGGTCCAAGTTTACTCTCGATGGCGACCGAAGCCTCGAAAACACAGTACTCGATGGACACCCGATCAACACCTCAGGCTTGTACTTGTCCTGGAGCTTATCTAACATGTCTATGTCCTCATCCCGTGAAAGGTCCCAGAACTGCCCGTCAGGTCGCTGAAGTTGTAAATCAATGGCGAAACCTGCACGAAGTCCAAGACGACGATTGCCTCGGGAAAGGACCTCACTGACGTCCATTGCGGACATCTCGACTGCTATCCGGGATACCCCCCGGATGCCCTCAGAGTCGCCCTCGAACTCCGAGCCGGTGTAAAACTCCGTCACGTGCTTAACCGTCTCTGCGAAGTACTTGTCCTTGTACGCAGAGAACGCACCCACGTCTGCATTGTGCGCCTGGCCCACCGCCGGCGCCGATTTTTCTGAGATGCCACTCGTCCCAGCCATGGCTCCTGAGCTCGAGCCCGCGGCGGGTGCCGCCGTCGATGCACTCGAACCGCCTGCCTGCACGTCCGGCCTGGGCACCGCCGGGTCGATGTCCTCCAGGGGCACTCCGGCCGGTCTCTTCCGAGGTCCCGGGGATGCCGGCCTCGCTTTCGAGCTCGCTGGTCCTGCGCTCGATGGCTGTCCTGCTCGCTTAGGCTGCCGATGTCGCACTTCATGTTGCGCTCGGGCTTCACTACCTGCATGTGGTTCCCCTTCTAATTGTAGATGGGGCTGTGGGGGAGGTACCCTGGTCTCTGTCCCAACCTCCGGCGCATCCTCCAACATCTCTCCTCCAATGCCCTCCTCCACAGTCATGTCCACCTCCTCCTGCTCCTCCTCCGGCTTCTCGCGCACGGCGTCCTCCACCTCAGGCTCCTGCTTGGCATCTGGCGCTGCCGTCGAAGCCTTCTTCCGTTTTCTCGCCGCCGCTAGCCGGAGACGACCGTCCGGGTCCTTCTCCATCGCCTCCACGATCCGTGAACGACACGTCGGTGCATGGCCCTGCCTGGTCGAACCTCCGAAAAATATCTCCGTGCAGGCCGGGCACTCCGGCGTCAGGCCGTACTTCTCCGTCATCTTGGCTGTGATGTACACGTCCCTCTTGAGCCCTTCCTGGGCCCCAGCGGCACCTGGAGGAGGTAGAATCGGAAGTCCTACAGCCTCACGTCCTTCTAGAACCTGTGGTGCACGCCCCGCGCGATGTGCTACATCCCATGGCAGACCCCGAACTTTATCAAGAAAAGCTAGATCAAAACGTTCACCGTGGGGTCGCTGCCGGAACGACTTCGCGTAGCGAACGCCGTCCTCCGTCAAGATAATAAGGCTGCCTGACCGTGCAGAATGGCCGACGTACACACCCGGAATCATGATGTTCTCGTAGTCGCGCTTGCCAGCCCTAGTCACCGCCAGCCTCGCCATAATGCACTCTCCGAACAATAATGCCGGTTTCTTCCACCGCCTGCCAGTTGACCGCTGCACCGGCGTACGTCCGTCCTCACCGACTTTGTACCGATTGGACGTCTGAGCCACGTGCCGCGCAAGCCACGCTAGGAGCACGTGGTCCTCAGCGAGCTTCCTTCCATACCGGTCTTCGGTGGACGTCTTGAGGGCACGGATGCCCTTCTTAGCCTCGCGGACGCCACTCTCAGCCGCACCATTGGCCTGGTGATCGCTCACAGGCGACTCCCGTGGCACAACTTCGATCTGCATGTCCTTCACAGCCTCCCTGCGCAGTTTCAACAACGCAGGCTCGTTGTCGCTCTTCAAGATGATCCTGCGGTACCCTAGCTCCACCAAGAAATTCGTGAAGTACTTCGCCGCATACGTGCTCGTCTTGCCGTCCAAGACAGTCGCGCCGATCATGCTGGTGACCCGGTCCTTGATGAAAACGTGCGTCGCAGCCTTCTCTTCCTCGCCCATGTAGAAGTAATCCGTGACGATCTCCGGAATCGCCTCCGTGCTCTCCGGGTCGTCCTCCACCACCTCGCGATGAGGTTGCCCGTAAGCCCTTGCAGCCACACAGTGCCTGCACCACGTCCGGTATTGAACGTGCCCTTGAAGTTCATGTTCCTCCACCTCTTCCCGTGACGGCTGCACGGGAATCTTCCGAGTCTTCGGACGCTGCGCTTCCTCCGATGCGTCCGGCTCCTGCCCTTGCGGCTCACGATCCCCGGCGGCGGGCTCGCCGAGGGCCGCTCTTGGGCTTACAGCCTGCCGGCCTGCCTCCGGCCCCCCGCCGGAGCCGAAGAATTGGCCGCCGCAGCCTCCATGGGCCGTGAGATGTAAGTCCTCTACAGACTGTTATGTTAATAAACCACAAAAAGTGTAGTGGAAGGTGTCAGGAAAGTGTTTCGTATGAAGTGCGTGAGAGTGTGAGAAAAAGTGTCGAATGTTGTGTGCCTGTACTCGTCGCGCGCGCGCCAGAATCCCAAGAAAGTGTTACCATACTGCCGCGGTGTCAACCAATATTTGTTTCGTGTTGTGTCTGAATAAACGGCGACGGGCTAGTTATTAATCGGAAAGCAGGTTGGACAACACCAGCGCGGTTTGAGCATTATCACGAAAACACGATGCAACGCGACGTCGACGAACAACATCACTAATCAATATACAAACACGACGTCCATTGCAACCGACGCGACGCGACAGCGGGGAGAGGCGGATCCAGCCGCGGCGACGAGGAGGCGAGTCCATCCACGGCGACGTGAGCAGAATCAGCCGTGGCGACGAAAGGCGGATCCAGTCGTGGCAACGAGATGTGCTCGAGGCGGATCCAGCCTTGGCGACGAGAGCGCTCGAGGCGGATCCAGCCGCGGCGACGACGAAGGGCGGATCAAGCCGTGGCGACGAGAGTTCTTCTTTCGAGGCCTTCGTTTTTTTACACCCCTCGCGCGTCCGCAGGATTTCTGGAGCCATGGGGGCTTTGGTCAGACGGACGACGGGTGGGCTGGGAGGGGTGGGTGTGGTGTGGTTAGTTTGAGAGACGATGCTGGTGTTCTCTTTTTTAATTCGAGCTGTCTTTGCTTTTTTTTCTTTTTTTTTTTTTTCTTTTTCTTTTCTTTTTTTTTTTTTTTTTCTTCTTTTTCTTTCTCTGTTTTCTTTTTCTTTTTTTTTTGCTTTTTTCTTTTTTTTTTTTTTGGCTCTAGCCGAGTTTCGGCAAGCGGTCGGCGGCCCCCGCATGAATGCGGGTGGCGCCGCCGACCCGTGGGCGGATGCCGACGCCCACGTGGGTCGCGATCCGTGGGCATCCGACGATGGCGAGCCAGCCGCCGATGGCGGCGCAGGCGGCGGCCACGCGGACATAGCCGCGCCGCCTGCTCCTGTTCGACGGCGCCGCCGTCGTGCAGACGAGAGGCCGCCCCCTGGCGGCGCGGCGGCTGCCGCTGCGGGCCCTCGTCGGTCTCGCGCCGAGCAGCTGGCGGATGCGAGGGAGGTCCTCCGCGCCAAACGGGCCAGGCTCGGTCGCCCGCGTGCGCTGCAGGACCAGCTGGCCGTGCTTCCATCGACAGCGTGCGAGGGGCCCGACGCCAGATTGAGTGCCGCTCGCATCACGCCCTTTTTTCGGATCGCCGAGAGTACGTGCACTTCGCTGCGCACGTCAGGTTCGTTCACAGATGCCCAGAATGCCAACGCTGCAGCTATCAGCAGGTACCTCGACGGAGACACGGGCCACGTGGCGAGCAAGATTGTCCAGGAGGAGCGTGCACATCTAGATTCAAGGGCTGTGGATTCGTTGTTGGTCTTTGCTGCGGAAAGCTGTTTGTTGCACGACAGAGACCATCGCGCCCGCATCGAGCGAGCTTTGAGCATGTCGCCACACCTTGAACATGTGCAATACATCGACATCGACCAGTACGACGAGACCCCGATGAAGTTCGGCCGCCGCGATTTCGACGATGTTCCACCTGTTGATGCTGTGCCTGTCGATGTGGGTGGCGTCAGCCCTGGGTCTGCTATTACGTTGGCTCCGCCTTCTTTGCGGGCCATGGGTGTGAGACCTACAGTGGAGGCAGCGACGCAGCAGAAGATATTGCAGAGCAAGTCCCACTTCGGCATCCTTGTTAGAGACCGCCGCGATGGATCATGGTGGGATATCAGTGGCAACACAATCAACCTGCTGCAGCACATGGACAGCACGGCGGCTGAATGTTTAGTGGAAGCTTGGCGATTGCGAGAAGCAGTGTCAGAGTACGTGGCCCCGTTTGCCCAGAAGATTCGACATACAAATCTCGATGGCGCAAAGTCCAACCCGAAAGCTGAGAACGATATACTCCGTCGGCGAGGTGCTGGTTGGTCGAGTCTGGAGCTAGATTGCGAGAGCCACATAGCAGCCAAAATAAAAAGGCATATGCACTCAATGGTTGATGACGACGTGGTGAAAGGAATGATCCATTGGGGGCTTGTCATGAATGACAACAACAACCGCGTCAAAGCGCAGAGGGCTCTCAGATCACTGCCCCGCGAGAAGATCAAGATCAGGAGAGGCCGACCGCCAGCGGGATCGCGCCCATACATGAGACATGTTATGTGCTTGGCGCTCCGAGGTGACAGACACTTCCTGGCAAAGGGTTTGTCGCTCATCTACCTCCCGAACGGCGACCCTACGAAGACCGACGACGTCGACGTCTGGGTGCCATTCGATGCCGCGGTCGACGAGGATTACGTGAGGAAGTGCGTCACGAGTGCTCTGACCACCCTGCTGCTCAGCTCAAACGTCCCCATCGTCGACAGGAACCGCTGGAACCAGAGCGACGCCGCCGAGAACAGGTTCATCTTGATGGAGGGCCTCTTTGGACTGGCGTCCAGAATTCTTGGCGCTTCGCGTGTCCCCGTAAGCCCATCCAGAAACGATGCCCAACCAGACTTCCTGTCCCAGGTGCGCTCGAAAGCATGCAGTGAAACAAATAGAGGACAGCAGCTATATTTGGAACGATGAAGGGGGATGGGAGCGCGGAGAAGTGAATGGGTGGCGAACGTGCGGGATGAGGAGGAGGAGGATCATGATTCAGGAGTGTGTGAGAGAGAGACGACAACGACGACAACGACGACACCGACGACGACAATTCAAGCGCAGTGGCATTCACGACATGTTCGGCCCGCGAGCCTCTTGGGGCCCATGGGATGCATCTTAGAGCAACATGTGGACATTGATGGAAGCATGTGGTTGCTTTTCGGGGCCCACTTGGTGCCCTTTCAAATAAACCTTGGGCGCTCTGGGAAACGTATCGGGTGCTATCTTGGGCCTTGTGGCTCAACGCGGCGGGCCGCTTTCATCCTTCCCCCATCCGCAATGGTTCTTGGTACTGGCTTATTGGGGCATTATTGGGAGCCAACGGGTGTTCTTGGTGCTGCATTGGCGCCGTCTTAGGGCCGTCGTTGGCCATAGTGGGCTTCTCTGGGCCCCTACTACATACTGAGGACACTGAGGCCCGTCGGAAGCGCGCAAGCGAGAATGCACATGACGTGGAATTGCTTCAGGTCTTGGGCCGACGGTGGCATCCCAGGGCATCTTCGAGGGGCCCCGCTGCTGCTTGCACACGTTCTGGAACAGCCGTGGGGCCTCTTGGTTTTGGCCGCCATACTGAGCGACGTTGTGCCGTATTGAGCCATCTTGGAGGCTATCTTGAAATATCCTGGTCCACCCGTCGGAGCAATCTGGGGTCAGCTTGAACGCTCTGCTCGGCCGCAGCCCAGACCTAAGGACTGGCTGGGCGAGCCCCCCCCCCCGCCCAGCCGAAACGGGAAGTGGGGCGATGGGCGGTGCAACGCACCGCATGCTCCAAGAGCAGGTGGATATTTCGCTTGGTGTGCGGTGGCGATGCTGGCGGCGAGAGGTCCACCTGCCCCTCTTTATCCACCTGCCCATCCCCCCAAGGCCATCACCCCCCGCCCCAGCCCCCTCCCCCTCCCCACACCCTTTCATCCGACATATCCTCCCCGTCACTCTCGCCTGCTCCCCCTCCCCACCTGGGGAGAGGGCGCTGACCCTCGCCCCATCTCCCTTCCCATGGCCACGCCCCTCATCTCCATGCCCCCCCCCAGCGTGCCGCAGGGTGAGGAGAGGGGGAAAGGTTGAGGAGCATGTGTGGCAGGAGCGTGTGTGTGCGTATGGAGGGGGAGGTGGAGGGGTGAGGGGAATGATACTAATGATGATGATGATGCTGATGATGATGATGGTTGTGCTGACTTGATGGTGGCGATGGTGATGACTAGGTGGGGCCACTAGAAGGGGTCCGCATGCCCCTCCCCCCCTCACCTAATCAACGCCCCGTTCCGCCTTTACCCCGCCCGCTAGGTCTGCTGACGCCGTCGCTGTGTGGACCGCGGAGCCTCCGCCGCCTCGGCCCGCTGAGTTCCTTCGTCGCGGAGACGTGGAGAAGCACAGGGTCGAGGCGGCCCGATGGTTGGCAACCGATCCACTTAAGAAGGTCATCGTTGTTCGCCAGTGCTCCGAGCCCCTCAGATCATTCATGGTTCATCAGTACGGCCTCTTCAGCGCTGAGACCAGAAAGAAGATCATACGGACTGGCATCGACCCTTTATCTGGACCTCGCGCCGATTTCAATCTCTTGCCACTGAAAACCCTTGCCAGCTGCGCCATGGAATCAGAATTCACGAGGAAGGTGTGCTGGATCATGACTGAGCCCGTGATGTGGGATACCATTATCCGACCGAGTTGGCGCACGCTGAGGTTGTCGTGCTACGCGTTCCGATTCTTGTCTGGAGCCGCTGGCGTATTCGAAGAGGAGATGCACGCCCGCCATCGTCGCCAGCCGTTCGAAACTTTTCGATTGGACCTTGGCGGCGATGGCGGAGACCCCGACTTCGAGTTGGCAGAGCGCCTCATGAGCATGCCCGCTTGCCTCCTCGGCGCGTTCGGCGTCCTCCACAGGGACTTCGCGACCGCTCGCGGTGGGTACTTTGCCGAGGCAGCGGTCCTGTGTCGCAGGCACTTGGCTCGGCACGCGAGGCTCACGATCATGGACCTGGAGTCGATCCACGCTAGCATCAACAGGCGGCTCAGAGCAGCTGGATTGCAGACGCATCCCACCGACATCGTCTACCA